AACACCCTGTTTTGAATCACACCTTAATAATTTTAGCTCTGTTGGTCTTATTTCCCTAAGTAAACAGCAAGTTTCCCTTTGGCCAAGACCACAAATGATATGACGTCTCCTTCCTGAATGGTGCTCAACTTAATGGCCACAAGCAAACAGCTGCTGGTCATTGGCACGGATGTGCAGGGGGCCTCAGCCTTCAGAGTCCATTCACTGGAGCCTGTTCACGACCATGGTCCTCATCCTATCTGGAAACAACACTTTGGTTTCCTTTGGGGTGCGGCACATCCTTCCCCCATTCAGTCTACTTAGTTGGGATGGAGCTAATCTGCTGCTCCACTGCCACTATGCCGGGAGTGGGTCCTTGATCTAGGTTAGCCAATCAGAGCCACAGAGGTGGGTGTACAGATGGGCACGTGATCCAGTTTGGACCAATGAGATTCAAGCCTGCGAGTTGTGCTGAAATTCGGGGAAAAGAAGCTTCCCTTTTTCAGTTGCGATTGTTGAGCGAGAGTTGCCACGTGGAGAAAACCTGCTGAGGGATGCAGAAAGACCAAATCCTGAGAACACTGCTTGAGCTCCTGGATCCGGCCAGACCTGAATCCTAACTATTCCTGGGTTTTTCAATGATTGTGATCCAATAAATCGCTTGTAGCGTAAGCACTCTGTGCTTCAAACTGTGAGTCCTGCTTCATATAAGCTATTAATAAAGATCTTCGGCTGCTGAAGAAGCACAGAGATTCAGAAAGAGCTGTGGGCTCATAGCGGCCCTACAGGACAGAGTAAAACTGTCCCATAGAGTTTCGTAGGCTATAATCTTTATGGGTTTGAACTGCCAACCTTTTGGTTAGCAGTAGAGCGCTTAACCATTGCACTACCAGAGCTCCTCAGAATTACCAGACAAAAACACATGGCCTCTGAAAAGGAGTCAGAGGCCACGTGTTTTAGTTCTGCATGAATACCTAGACTACACAACCTCCCTGTGTCTCAGTTACTCTGTCTGTAAAATGAGGTGCACACTCCTGCTCCTCTAGACCCCCTCCATTTCTCTGACTTCCAGGTTTACAGCCGCAGCCCAGACCTCTCTCTGGAGCTTCAGACCCTACAAATCCCACTGTCCTCTAGGCCTCTCCAACAGAGCTAATTTTCTTCTTTCTAAGCCTTTTTCCCTTTCATTCTTCTTCCTCTTACTACATGGCACTTGGTGCTAGAAACTGTTCGTTTCCCTCCAATATCCACTCTTCCTTTCTTCCTCTTAGAGTAATCAAACCAAAAAAACCAAACCTGTTGCCGTTGAGTGGATTCTGACTCATAATGACCCTATAGGACAAAGTAGAACTGCCCCATAGGATTTCCAAGGCTGTAATCTTTATCGAAGGAGCCCTGGTGGTGCAGTGCTTAAGTGCTTGGCTGCTAACTGAACCCACCAGCTGCTCTGTGGGAGAAAAGGCCTGGCGATCTGCTCTCGTAAAGATTACAGCCTTGGAAACCCTATGGGGCAGTTCTACTCTGACTTATAGGGAGGGCCTCTATGAGTTGGAATCTACTTGACAGCAATGGGTTTTTTCTTTACGGAAACAGACTGCCACATCTTTCTCCCTTGGAGTGGCTGGTGAGTTTGAGCCGACCTTTCAGTTAGCAGCCAAGCACTTAAACACTCTGCACCACCAGGGCTCCTTCCATATGTACAATGGAGACTAACTGGACTTCATGATCTCCTAGGTCCTTTAAGCTCTGATATTCTGCGGTTCTGTAATTCTGGGATGACTGTTCAAACTCAGATGCCAGTGGGGCCAGGAGGGTTACGTAAACAGGTAAAACAGTCCACGTAGGGGCTATGATGGGCTGGAGAGCGTGTGCCCCCTCTAACGAGAACTGTCGCTACTCAGCTCCTGTTGGCTATTGCCACCTGTGAATGCAGGGTTGCCAAATTTCCTAATTTTTTAAGAAGAGCTGGAAATCTTGATGGTTTTGGTTTGTGCAATCTCCTGATTTTCAAATGTTGGCAACAAATTCACATTTTTTCAAACACTCTGGGGCCAAACAAAAATGTCTGTAGGCTAAATCTGGCTCGTGGTGGCCAGTTAGGAATTTCTGTTTTGATGTTATTTTCCTTCCTTCCTTCATTTAGCAAATATTTACTTGAAACTCACTAAGTGGGAGGCACTATTCTTTGCACTGGGGATAAGGCAATAACAAAACAAGAAGAAAAAAAAAATCCCTATCCTCATGCCGCTTACATTCTAGAGAATTGCCCTGATTCATTCAAGCAACAACCGTTTATTGGCAATTCTGCCCCATGCACTGTGCTGGGTTGGGTAGATAAAAAATGTTCATGGTCCCTGTCCTCATGGCACACAATCGGTGCAAAATTGTAACAGAAATGAAAAACACAATTATGGGAAGAGATGTAATTTGGATAGGGCTGGTGGTTAGGGAAGTCCTCAGGGAGGAAGCTACAGGAGAACTGAAAGATAAGTAGTATTTGGTCTAGTGAAGAACATTCTAGAACATTCTAGAGTACCACAGAGGCTTCCATTGCCTCCCACACCATGTCTTCCTAGGTGTCATCATTTCTGTACATGCAGAGGCTTTCTGCTGTTAGCACTTTGTGATTCCCTGCCCTAGGGGTTTCTTGGAGCAGGCCAGAAATGCAGGGAGATAACACTCCTATAGGAAGCCCTCAACCTACGAAGGAAGAAAATTTGTCAATAAATATTCCAGCTCCCTCGCCCCTTGGGTGGGTCAACGTTGACTGTGTCCTACACAATCTTCCAAAGGTTCCTACTAAGACTGAGCCCCGGTTGCTCATAGTAGAAACTGTTTATACAACTTGTATTGGCTTCCTTCTCTTCCCTGAATCACTTTCCACCTCTGCACCTGGTGCTTCCTGGGATCACCTCCACAGTAAACTACCTGCACTTACTCCTTGTCCCAGGCTCTGCTTCTGGGAGAAACACAGCAGACAGAATAGTATGAACAAATACCCTGAGGTGGGAAGGAACATGGCAGGTTCAAGGACAGAAAGACTCAGGATGGATAGTAGGAAATGAGGCTGGGGAGTGGGGCAGGAGCTAGCTCGTGTAGGGCCTTGGAGGCTGGGGTGAGGGTTTGTCAGTGAGGAAGCCACTGCCGATGTTTCAGCTGGAGAGTGATATGATTAGGCTTGTACTGGAGGATGACCCCTCTTGCTGCTGTTGGGAGAATGGACTGTCGGGGCAAGAGTGGAAGACAGGAGACCAGATAGGAATCTACAGAGGAGTTGAAGTGAAGATGGCTGGGATTAGGTGGTCGGGTTGGAGAGAGGTGAGTGGCAATTTGGAATGACCTGGGCCAGGTGACATAGGGCCCAGGGAGGTCCTCTGGGCTTTGTTCCCGTCTTGAGTTGTTGTTGCTGGGTGCTGTCGAGTTGATTCCGACTCAGTGACCCTATGCGGTTGAGTAGAATTGCCCCATAGCGTTTTCTAGGCTGTAATCTTTATGGAAGCAGATCACAAGGTCTTTCTCCGGTGAAGCCACTGGGTGGGTTTGAAGTGCCAACCGTTTGGTTAGCAGTGGAACACCTACCTGTTGTACTACCA